AAGTGGATTTAACTCCTCTTCATACATTTGGCCCCATGATGTCCAAGCAGAAGGAGAGCAGAAGAATGACTCTCTGTTGTGTCAGACTTCTCCCTTCTAACCCCCGACACCAGGACCCCAGTAGGAAAACACTGTACCCAACTGATGCTTAATAGCTACTTTCAAGGTAAAGCCATTCCCTCACACACCATGCAATATAGAGGCCTGACTACGCATGTGCGTGCTCGTATGGCACCAGTAACTTTAGTCTCTTTGTAACTGGATGAATGTTGGGATCTTCAGCTAGCCACTTTCGTTGGTGCACTTAAACTCCTTAAACACTTAAAGTGTAATTGTAATCCTGTGGCAGTATTTGTATAGCAAAGTGAACACGGTGTCTGTTCAGCAGGGCCATCTACACAACCCAGTGCCTGTTGAATATGAGCAAGGTATGATGTCTCTGTATATGTGCAATGTTCCTGTCATCTGACAGTGGGAGAAATCCCTCTCACCAGATCCTGTGACAAAGGCCCAAACGATCGTCCTGGAAATGACAGGCTCCTCTGGTCACCTCACCATGAGCACTTCACACTGTCAGTGTAGGCACTGTACTGTAGACCACTTCTCTCAGTTTGGATGTTCCTTTGTCTGATGCAGATCACCAAGCATCCAGTGCACTGCCCATCAGCACTTCTTTGCCAGGTCCAATCTCTCTCCTGCCACACGCAATCTCCCTCTCCCTCAGGAGAAACCCAAGATGGCCCCCTTCATTCTCCTCTCCCTAAGCATGATGGCTTTCGTAGTTCTTTTTTTTAATTCTATCTCCATATCAGCCTATAAGGCTGTTTCTGTTCAAAACTCCATCATCCACAATGCTTTGCAGCTGCACTTCCTGCTTGAAAGAGTCCTTGTCATTGGCTCCTTTAATGGATCTTATAATTGGCTCTCTCTCTCTTACAGTCTGAGAGGAGAAGGGGGGCTGAAATCCCTCACTGGTTTTGTCTGTGTCAGGGCAAGTGTTCAGGTTACACAGGAGAGGCCAGTCAGCAGATCACAGCCATGAGACAGGATTAATCTCTCCTGCTACACAGAGAAGACAACAAAAAGGAAAAATCAGGAGGGCACAAATGCTTAGTGCATTATCAGCGATTTATTGTTCACAAAGCATAGATGCCAAATGGATATCCACAGAAGTGGAAAGTAAAATCGCCAAAGAAAATACAAGATGCCACAGCAAGTGGAACCACATTTTTCCATGAACCCCAACTGGACTGTTAACCATTTCAATACCGGGTACTTTTACCCCCCTTCCTGCCCAGGCCAGTTTTCAGGTTTCAGCGCTCTCACACTTTGAATGACAATTGCGCGGTCATACAACATTGTACCCAAACTAAAATGTTATAATTTTCTTCACACAACTAGAGCTTTCTTTTGGTGGTATTTAATCATCGCTGGGGTTTTTTATTTTTTGCTAAATTAACAAAAAAGTCCGAAAATTTTGAAAAAAAACCCCCCACGTTTTTCTTTGTTTCTGCTATAAAAGTTTGGAATAAATAATTGTTCTTCATAAATTTAGGCCGAGATGTATTCTGCTACATGTCTTTGGTGAAAATAACCCAAATTAGGATGTATTATTTAGTTTGTAGGAAAGTTATAGAGTTCACAAACTATGGTATAGATCTGAATATTGATCAATCTGAAGTACTGACAGCCAATCTAATTTCTTGAGGTCCAAGAATGCCATCCCCAAAAATGTCACAACAGTACAGATATCCCCCAAATGTCAGGACAGTACAGATATCCCCCAAATGACCCCTTTTTGCAGAGTAGACAGTCCAATGTATTTCAGAACAAGCATGGCGAGATTTTTGAAGTTGTATATTTTTTTGTCATAATTTTTCAGAAAATTAAAAAATTAAAAAATAATTTTCACTTTTTTTTTTTTTTACATACTGTCACCAGTGCAGTACAGCGTCATCATATAACTGGCATGCGGTGAACAGGGACACTGACTGGTGACAGTATGAAAAAAATATATATTAATTTTTTTTTTTTTTTTTACATTTTTTTTAAGATTTTTGTTTTTCATATTTCACTATGACCAAAGTAGTACAACGTTACCATAGTAACATTGTACTACTTTGGGGAAGTGATCAGTATTTTTTTTTTCTTTGTGTTACACAATTTGCCTATAGCAAAGAATTACTTTGCTATAAGCAAGCATTTACCAGAATGACCGATTCATTCAGGGCTTTTTTTTTTTTGTGCTTAGCTGTGATTTGACCACGGCTAATCACATGACACAGCTGGGCTGTGATTGGCCCAGCTTGTGATGCATGTGATTGCTGTGACCATTCACAGCTAGTCACACTAGTATACAATGGCATGAATGAAGCCATCCATTGTATACAACTGTCATGTGACCTGCTGTGATTGGTCACAGCAGGTCACATGGTACTGGCAACAGTACCATGGCAACTCAGATCTGTCATCGGCCATGTCCGAGGAACACAGCCAGTGACAGATCGCGCCACTGCGCGGCTCTGCAGGCACGCAAACCGCGCATTCCTGGAAGGACGCCATATGGCGTCCACCCGGGACGCTGAGGGAAATTTTGCCGGCCGTCAATCGAACCATTGGCCAAGCGGCAAGAGGTTAAGTTGACGTGTTTTGGAGGCTTACTCTTCCTCAGAGCTATGCTAGCCAACATCATGTTGGTTACACGTCAGCTTAACAGTCCAGCTGAATTGCATGGATACATGTGATTCCTCTTGCTGTGGCATCTTGTGTGTTATATGCAATTTTACTTTCTACTTCTGTGAGTATCCATTTGGCATCTGTGTTTTTTGAACATATATTATTGGTAATGCACTAGGCATTGCAACCTCCTGATTATTATTTTTGTAGTTTTCACAAGAGAAAAAAAAAAGTGAGACTTATTGAAGGTGCACCCCCTTTCAAGGAGTAACAAATGCACGCATAATATACTGCTAAAATACATACACTATATTGCCAAAAGTATTGGGCCCCCCGCCCCTCAAATCATGTGATTCAGGTGTTCCAATCCCCTCCATGGCCACAGGTGTATACAATCAAGCCCCTAGGCATGCAGACTGCTTCTACAAACATTTGTGAAAGAATGGGTCACTCTCAGGAGCTCAGTGACTCCAAGCGTGGTCCCGTGATAGGTGGCCACCTGGGCAATAAGTCCATCTGTGACATTTCCTGGCTACTAAATATTCCACGCTCAACTGATAGTGGGATTATAACAAAGTGGAAGCAACTGGGAACAACAGCCACTCAGCCACCAAGTGGTAGGCCACGTCACATGACAGGGCGGGGTCAGTGCATGCTGAAGTGCACAGTGCGCAGAAGTCACCAACTGTCTGCAGAGCCAATAGCTAAAGACGTCCAAACTTGGTGTGGCCTTCAGATGAGCCCAACAACAGTGCGTAGAGAGCTTCATGGAATGGGTTTCCATGGCCAAGCAGCTGCATCCAAGCCTTCCATCACCAAGTGCAATGCAAAGCATCGGATGCCGTGGTGTAAAGCACACCACCACTGGACTCCAGATCAGTGGAGACGTGTATTCTGGAGTGACCAATCACAGTTCTCTGTCTGGCAACCCAATGGACATGTCTGGGTTTGGCGGTTGCCAGGAGAACGGTACTTGCCTGACTGCATTGTGCCAGGTGTAAAGTTTGGTGGAAGGCGGGGTTTGGTGTGGGGTTGTTTTCAGGGGTTTGGCTTGGCCCCCTAGTTCCAGTGAAGGGAACTCTTAAGGTGACATTTTGGACAATTTCATGCTCCCAACTTTGTGGGAAGAGTTTGGGGATGACCCCTTCCTGTTCCAACATATCCACCAGTGCATAAAGCAAGGTCCATAAAGACATGGAGGAGCAAGTTTGGGGTGGAGGAACTTGACTGACCTCAACCCCATAGAACACCTTTGGGATGAATTAGGGTAGAGACTGCGAGCCAGGCCTCCTCCCCCGACATCAGTGCCTGACCTCACAAATGTGCTTGTGGATAGTCTTCCTAGAAGAGTTGAATCTGTTATAGCTGCAAAGGGCGGGGCCAACTCAATATTGAACTCTATGGACTAAGACTGGGAGGCCATTAAAGGTCATGTGCATGGAAAAGCAGGCGTCCCAATACTTTTGGCAATATGTATATACAGTATATAGTGTCAAATAAACTTCTGTTAGCACACCGACTCAGTGGGGTATCTGTCCTATAATCCCCGCTGAGCAGGCAGATGACAGGTCCATGTCTGCTCCACTTATGCAGAGCAGACACAGCGTGCTTTCCTCTGTGGGCTGTCAGATGTAAACAGACTGCCTGTCCGTTTACACCTGACTGTCATCTAATCCAAGCCACCCAGATGGACAAGAATGGATCCCCCATCTGTTTGTTTTTAGTGGATCAGATGCAGGCTGGTATAAATGGACACAAGTCCGTTTACATTCACTGCACCATAAAAGGGAAATGGATGTCCGATCCGGTCTGCTTGAAAATGGACAGATGGACTTGACCGGTCCACCTGTGTAAAAGGAGCCAAAAGAAAGGATAAAAGAATACATAATTACAGTCCAAGCATTGCTAGAGTAGTGATATGTTTGAAACATCTCCCATGGCCAACCCATGTGTACTATAACTGCTTGCTGACTGCATCACATGGATGTACGGTGGCAAAGCGGGCTTCCTGGATCATGTACCTAGTATGTGATCTGTGGTTCCGGGTAGGGGGTGCACGCTTGCGCCCGCCACCGTGACTGTGCTGTGGATGCCAGGTGATCCCCTTGTGTCAGAGATTCAGTTATTGACTTTGTGCATTCCGCTCAAAATTTTGGAATTTGAAGGAATTTGTTGAGGGATTTTAGAACCAGGATAGGACGAATACCCCCCTTGGGTTTTGGTACCATGAACAGGTTAAAAACATCTTCAAAGACTCAGTAGGCAATATTTACACAATAAGTCAGTGTCAGGGATCCCCGCGGCGCTGGTCCTGGCGCAGGCACAGTGCACCGCCCTGTGCAGGGAAATGGGCACTAGGTCCTGGCCGACCACGGCATTCGAGTTCGCGCATGCGCAGTAGAGGCCGCGGGCACGCGCTTGGCACCAATGACAGCGCAGGGCGCGATATTTAAACGTCCCTGGGCTGTCATTCAGTGCCCTCTGGTCTTACCTGTATCCTGTATCTGCGAACCTGTATTCTGTGAGTTGCTGACCCGGATTGTACCTGACCTTGCTGTATTCTCCTGCCCAGACCCTTGCTTTGCCTGACCTCTCTTCTAGATGCCCCACTTTAGATCTGACCTTTTGTTGCTGACCTGGCGTGTGACCCGACTACTCTCTGCCCGCTGCTTTGTACCGCACCGTCCCCACAGTTACCGACCCGGCCTGTCTGACCTTGCATCTGCTCATCCATCCATCCTAACGGGATCACCTGACCTCCTCATATCAGGCTCTTCCCCGTGAGAGCCCCTGGCGAATACATACCCCTACCACTGACAGGTGTTCTCAGTAGCCACGACCTTGCAGAGGGTTCCACCAAGCATAGTGTGCCTCAGCACTTAAACGTAATAAGAATTTCAGGGGACTACAAGTTTTTGTTATAGAGGCCATGCCCAGCCACCTCACAGATAAGGAAAAGTTTCTAAAGTTGTGTAAACAAGAAATGTACTGGATACACAAACTGAACACTTACACCCCGAATGGACTTACTGAGGATATTGACATATACACGTAGATTAGGCAGAAAGGTGTTTGTAGGTGTGGCCTTGTTGCTGTGTGTTGGCTTTACTTTAATGATCTCTGTTTGTAATAATCAATCACAATTTTATACAATGCATCTTACATGACTTTGACAGGCTACTCAGGGGTTAATGGTTTTAGGGGAGCGCAGCAAGGTTCCATCTGTACCCCCCTATATTTGCATATACACCTTCAATGCTGTTTTTTTTTGGTCTCCTGGCTTGACAAAGAGGCAGAGCCTCCAAATGTTGCCACAGAGACCGATATTGTTTGCCTCCTTCAAACCAGCTTCCTGGATTCTGATGGTTTGATGTTCCTTCCTGTGACACAGTTTCCTGTAATGTAATCTCCAGTCTGGTTGACAGCTCTTATTGGTTTGGAATACACACTATTCACCATTCGCATTTTTTCCTCCCGGCTGATCCATCTATCCTCTCATCCTTTGTTCATTTGGGACCACAGGCAACAAAGATGGTACCTCACTTCTCGAGCAGTGAGTCAGATGTGAGGTGTGGATTTGTTACACCTGTTTCATTAATTTTTTTTAGGTTGGCAATAAGAAACAAGCGATAAAAAATAGAATGTAGATATGCATTACAGAACATTGAGCGTAAAAGGTTGCAGATAGCTACACCAGTCGCTGGGATGTTGACAACAAGGCCTTAAACATGATCCACATAGGTGAAAGAGCGGGTAAGATAAAAAAAATTCTACTCTAATCTCCACTAAAGAGGACACTAAAATCCTATGCATGAAGGGTATCCATCTTGGTCAGCAGTCCTGCAGGGTCATTAGACTGCATCTCTCTCTATATAAAAAAGTATCACTTGTGGTGACCAAATGGATAAACATGAGTCGGGGTAGGTGTCCTGACAACAGAGACAAGTTTTGCATTACCAGGAGGAAAAAAATGTGGAAAGTAGAAATGAAAAAAAGAGGGAGAGGAACGTGAAAAGAAGAAGAAAACACAAGAGTGCGTCCATTCAGGAATCCATCGCCTTCATAGCCGGAGAGCCACCCCTAGGTGTCTGGTACCTGTACATAAGATAGATAGGGGTTCCAGATCTTATGGAATAAGGCTGGTTCATTCCATAAGACACTCACAATCTCTTTTCATTGAGCATGATCCAGGCTAGCTTACACTTCATCGAGGCCAGGTCGATCTTTTCCAGGCTGTCACTCAATCAAGCTTGCGTGTATCTTGTGATATAGTCCACTGGGCATGCAACAGTGCTGGTTTAAAGCATCTTTGGAATGTTGACCATGGTGACTGAATGTATGAGAAGAGTGATCCTGGTCCAAAAGAGGAAAACCTTGGACAGATCCACCACGTTTGGTGGGCACGTTCCCACCTGGCCACAACCTCGAAAACAGGAGGATGAGGGGCCCCGATACATTTTGGTGAGGTGTTCCGTACCAGGCAACCATCTGGTGTACACTTTGTAGCCCTCCTCAAGCCAATGCTACTTGTTACACCTTCTGGATATGACACACCATACATGTTTTTCGCTTAACTCGATAGGTAGAGCATAATGTTTCAGCACCTGCTTCATGTTCAATATACAGCATGGCTTTCTTGGGTCCTTCACAACAGTTTTTGGGGCCTCCTATACAGTTGATGGGTTTTCCCACAGACCACATCTCATCTGGTTCCCCATGTAAGTTTAATTGACTGCACCATACACCAACAACTGCATTGTATGGAATATATATTGCCATATGCATCACACATCTGTGAGTGCATTGAGGATCTCTTTTTTGTGCATTTTCCATGTCCAGGTTACTAGCGGCACCAGCTCCAGTGGACATATTTATGTTTATATATCATTTGTTTTTCTGGATTTTTGGATGATATTCATTGTCTCATCATTAAAATACACCTATGATAAAAATTATAGACCCTTCATTTCTTTGTAAGTGGGCAAACGTTACAATTATCTGCAGGGAATCAAATCATATTTTCCCCCCACCGTACATTGATATGCACTTCATAATGTATTTGTGGTCAGATGCTGTTCCACATTATTTGATTAATTCATTCATTGATAATTGATACTTCAGAACTAAAATGTTCTGTGTAACTGCTGGGCAATACAGCGGACCTGTCCACCAGATATATTATAAATGTGCAGCATGGTCGTCTGTGTAACCCTTCCAGGTATTTATTACCTCCCCACAGAGATCACATGACTCCCCCTGACAGTGTCTTCATCTGCTGACTCAGGCCAACACAGTCATGTAAATCCTGTGGTCAGTGCAGTTCTTGGCTGTGTTCACAAATGTCTGACACACATCAGCCCCTGCTTCAGGCTCTCACCTTGTGACTTTTCTACAAAGTTACAATGTACAGTGTAATCACTGGGGGAGGAGAAAACTGAGGAAATGCCTCCTCCTTCTACAAAGTTACAATGTACAGGCTGATCAACTCTGGGGGAGGAGATAAGGAAATGCTTCCTCCTGCCTGCAGCAGGACTGATGACATCATCACAGCCTAAGAGAAGAGTCCCTGACTGGACTTTTTTCGAATGATAAAAGAGTGGACCTCACTGTAATAAAATATACTGCTGCTGTACTGTATTATATATATATATATATATTGTGACAGGATGAACGGCGAGGTGATAGAGGGATGCTATGTGTCACCTCGCATATGCTCATACCTGACAGTTTAGGTGGAGTCCCACTCCGGGGTTTTTCGGGGCCACATTTTAGAAGGTTGGTCCGAAC